GCGAACAAAAGGCGGACGCGGCGGGAGCAGCGGGGAGGGACGCGGGCGGGGAGCGAGGGAGGGATCCGCGAGGCAACAGCGACCCCCTCGAGGGTCAGGCAGGCCTGGGCAGCCGCGGCCTCGGCTTGCTGCGGCAGCTCCCGGACACTGGCTGCTCCCCTGCGGGTTGGGGGATCGCACCCGGACGTGGAGCCTGGGAGTCTGGCGTCGCCGTGGGGGCCTCGTGGATGGCAGGAGAGGATATTCCCCGGCAGAGGCCCCGCGGACCTCAAAGGGCCGGAGCCAGCATCCATGCACACCCAGCACCGCGCCGCGAGCCCCTTGCGGGTGCTGAGCCTGCGCGAACTCCGCCCCCTTTAGCTGGGCATGACAAACGACCCCATCGCCTAGAACGGTAAACTGAAGCATGACCCAGCACGCGGTCGGCTCTTGGTCAGCGGAGGAACCAGGATGGAGCCTCATGCCTCCCAAGGGTACTGGACTCCTCCTGCCTGACCGCTGTCATAGTGACCCCGCGTGCATACTGGACTCCGTACACCTGGCCGCCTGCGATCCCGAGCAGAGTCCTGTCTCCCCTACCCCAATTCCAAGGTTTTTGCGATTAAACTTCAGGCTGTGCCTTATGGATGCCTGGCCATCGGATGCTTGGAGGGAAGGGGCAGGTTCTGGGCCGGATGGAGGCTGGCATGGCCTGAAGACTGTGGCCCTGAATCCTATAGGGTCAGGTGTCTCTACCCCTCAGACTCCAAGACCCCAGCCCTGGTAGGCGTGCTTTCTTTCCTTCCACGCTACTTCGGTTAACCGAGTAGCTGCTCGGTCCCTTACACCTTCTTCACCTCTGCCCTCTCCTGCAGCCCTCACAGTGCCTGAGCCACAAGAAGTTCTTTGGCTGGCCCTGGGAAGACAGCCACCCTCAGGGTGGCTGCCCAACCCCTTGCTACCCAGGAGAGTAGCGCACGCGCGCCACACACACACACACACACACACACACTTTATGCAGCTTCATTTTCCTCCTCCTCTAGTCCCTTCCCCCCCTCCTCCTTTCCCCCTTCTTTCTCCCCCCCCCCTTCCATTTCCCTGCCTCCCCTTATTCTTCTCCCCCTTCTCCTAACTTGATCTACAGCACAGCAGCAGGCTGGTATCAGGTCTACCCCTTTTTCTCCTACCCACCCTCCACACTGAAGTGCAAGCAGGTCCGCCAATGCCCTGGGCGAGGGTGCTGGGCAGTGATTTGGGAACCCTAGGCTAGAGACCCAGGGTGTGTCATCTCACAGGCAGGCCTCAGTCCAGCGCTGGTCTGGTCTAATGTGCCCATGACAGGTCTATTAGCTTGACTGTCCCTGCTCGGGCAGGCTTGTCACAGTGATACACAGACGTTGTGCAGTTCTTGCAAACTGCCGCCCTCTCTCTGCTTCTGTTTCTGCTTCTGTAGAGCATGTGGGCTTTGAGGTATGAGAGGGTATGCATGTCACCATCCTTGGTTGCTCCAAGCCCACAGCACTAATGCAGACCACGATCGATATTTCAGCAAAGGATCTCAGAATTCTCTCCCCCACACCACCCGCCTCTCTCTCCAGAGGGGGTCTCGCCATGTTACCCAGGCTGGTCTGGAATTCATGGGCTTTGGTAATCTTCAGCTTCCCAAACAGCCAGGAGCACAAGGGTCTGCCAACCCTTGTCTCAGAAAGGTTAAGGAACTTTTCTCTGATCACATTTTCCAAAAAGAAGCACGTGGGTATATATTCCAATTGCCCCTTTATTACTATTGTTAATGTGTGTGTGTCACACATGCCACGGTGCACATGTGAAGGTCAGAGGACAGCTTGCAGGACTTGGTGCTCTCCATCCAACCAACTGCTCTTCTCACAGTGACATGGACATTTCACCAGCCACGGGGCCTGCTTCCTGCCCTTCCGTCTGGGCGGAAGACCTCTGGGGCGTGGCCTCTCTCCTGTGCTCTTCGTTCATCCTTGGAATCCTGTCATCATCATGAAGAGAGGAAGTTTAGGTCTCATGGGGCAGCCATGTGAAGGCCCTCCAGCCAACAACCAGCTCCAACCACACAGTCTCCACTGGCCGCCAGACCCGTGAGAGGAGGAGGCTACAGAAGCCCCACTGGTAATCTTGAGCCGCCCAGTGAGGAGTGGACAGAAGTGAATTCTCTCGCCAACCCTGCTCAAACTGCAAAACAAAGCTCTGCAGGCACCAGCCCCCTCCCCTTTTATACACAGCAGTGGGTAACCCAAAGGCACAGCCAAGGGCATACAGCTTGCAAATGACTTAGCTGGGGTTGTTTGACCAGAGGCTGCTCTGTTCCAGGGCCTGCTACTAACTGGTCAGCTTAAGCACCCAGTGAGTGCTATAAAAATCTCTGACCAAGAAGGAAGCATTCAATGAATGATGTCTTCAGTGGCAGGTTGTAACACATGAAGGGGATGATGACCCAAAAGTTCTCCCATCCAAGCTGCTAAATAGACCAACAGGATGGAAACTAAATGGAAGCTAATTCCTGGAAGGCTTCCAAGAGGAGGTATCTTTTTCGAACTAAAGTGAAGGTTGTTTTCATCCTACAAATCATGAAAGAAATAAGCCACTGGCTGGGGCATGATAGGGAAACCCACTTGAACAGGGTTATCAGGGAGCCCTCTCTGATGATGAGGTGGCCTGTATGCCGAGTTAGCCAAAGGGTCTGGGGAGAGAATCTGGAGCAGATTGAAGAACCAGGGCAAAGTCCCTGGAGGAAGAGAAAGTGTGACAGATGCTCAGGGAGGGGTGGTTAGTGTGGCTGGAGCCCCATGGGAGATAAAGACGGAAAAGATAGAGTGGAAAGCAGGAAGCAGACGGGACATAGGCAGGGGATTATCTCCGATGCAGTGGCAAACACTAGAAACTGCAAGCAGGGAGTCACAGCATCTAATTTATGTCCAGAGTAGATCCCTGTGCTGACAAGAACAGATGCTGGCCAAGCTTAGGTTGACGAACATGACTCTGGGGGCTAAGGAAGCTCAGAAGCATTAGAAGCCAGAGAAAGGATGTGTTCTGCTTTGGAGAACCAGCCACTCTTGGCTGGAAGTGAGGACTCAGAGAAGTGATGTCAAGTTCATCTCCCCATCACCTGCTTCAGAGGACAAACAACAGCACCATTTGCTTAAGCAGGAAGACAAGCCCGGAGGTGTCAAAGGGCAAGACAGCCTCAGTTCACAGGCCACAGTGGCTCTGGAGCATCTCTGGAGATGTCCAAATAGAGACCCAGAAAAGCATAGCACGGGCATGCAAAGCCAGGCCAGCAACAAGGCCTGGAGTAGTCAAGAAAATACTCACCTTGAGGACTGGAGATGTTGCTCAGTGGGTAGCATGCTGGCCTAGCATGCACAAGGCATCACATAAAACCAGACATGGTGGTACATGCTTCTGTAATCCCAGAACTCAGAAGGTGAAGGCAAGAGGACCAGAATTTCAAGGTCATTATGGGCTACATAGGGTGTCTGAGGCCAGCCTGGGCTACAATGAGACCCTGTTAATAAAACATTCACATTGAAACTGGGTAAAGTTACTCAGGAAGAGAGTCTGGGAAGAGGAAAACTGGTCCAGAACCAGAAAGTTAAGCATGTCTGGTTCAAGAAAATAGTTAAGGGAGCTGGAGAGATGGTTCAGTGGTTAAGAGCACATGCTGTTCTTCCAGAGGACCTGGGTTCAATTCCCAGCACCCACACGGCAGCTCACAATTGTCTGTAACTCCTGTTCCAGGGGATCTGACAGCCTCACCCAGACATACATGCAGGCAAAACACCAATGCACATGAAATAAAAAAATAAAAAAGGAAAGTCAAAAGGAGAGAAAGTGGGGACAAAAGAGGAGGAAGTGGTCCCTGCCAAAGCCAAGGAGCAGAGCAGGTTGAGAGGAGGCTGCTGGCCTCGCAGGGTAGAGTTGTGAGGGCAGAGCCACAGGAAGTGGCCTGAGAGAGGAGAGAGGTGGAGGCCGAGTGTAGGGAGAAGAGGCATGCTCGTGGGGACCCTGGGATCAGCAAGGAAGAGGAACAAGAGGCAGGAGAAGCAGGCGAGAGCCAGCTTGGCTTTGGAAAAGAGCAGGCCCACCCTCCGCCAGCCCTTAGGAAGGCAGAGGGGCAGAGGACGG